ACAGAAGGGCCATTGTTTGACTAGGCATAAAGCCGTTTCCCACGTTCCTATTTTATATCAAGAGAAGTTGTCAAATTTATCACCAAACATATCCAGTACGTTCTTAAGATTGTTACACTGCATATCTGTCATGGAATATGACACAAAGCAACAAAGCTAACATATAAGCAACTTGAAACACATTGTTATACACGCAAATTACAATTGTATCTTATACTGCCACTTTGCTCTACCACTTCCTGGGAAAAAGTTTCTACAAATGCCTGTGATCTGAGATACCTCAAGAAATTCCAGATCCCCATCCTATAACATCTTATTGGGACACAGACACAGACTTAGTTCCTTTTGCCAGGAGCACCTGGGAACCTGGTGTTATGTATCAGCACAACAATGCCATCACAAGCATCTCCTCTTATTAACAATAATCTTGTGAACATCCCACCACTGAACTGGCACCTGACATTTCAGAGTTAAGTGGAAATACTGAGAAAACAGAGAGGAGAAAGAGTGTATAATATCTGATGCCTATCAAAGTCAAGTCAGGGACAGGCAGCACTTAACCAACTTTGGCTGATCTTGAAAAAGCTAAACAGGGTCAAATCCAGTGATTAATGGACAGGAAACCATCAGGAAATCCCCAAATTGTAGAGTAGACTAGACAGGCACAAACATCCCAGAGAAAGCAATGGCAAGCCAGTTGCCAAGAAAATGTAGTCACCAGGAGGTGAGTTCAACTTGAGGGAGATGTTACCTTTTTCAAAATCAGAGTAAATGCAAACATTCCTTCCTCCCCTTTATGATAAAAGCAACAACAAATGGAGCAACTCATAACTGATGGGAATCAAAATCTGGGATCTTCTACAGAGTGTCCTAAAAGTCTTAGTGCAGTTTTAAGCTTTAAAACTTTTGGGACACCGTGTATTTGTCTTTACATTTTCCTGCACTCATTTTCCATCATTGCAGGAGCCAGAGCAGTGTTTCTCAACCTTAGCAACTTTAGGATGCTTAGACCTCAACTCCCAGAATTCTGGGCTAGAGAACTGCTGAGAAAGACAATGATTAAAAATGAGAGTTAAAAATCTGATACAATGTTCTTCCTGAACATCCAAGTGCAAGTGTTCAATGCTCTCACTGCCAAAGCCTAAAGAGAAATAGTCCAGTCAGCAACATAAGCAGATTCCTTCTCTATAAGCCAGGGTTCCTCAACCTTGGCAACTTTAAGAAGGCTGGCTGGGGAATTCTGGGAGTTGAGGTCCACCCGTCTTAAAGTTGCCAAGGTTGAGGAACCCTGCTATATGCAATTGCACTCATAGCAGAGGCAAGCCCTAACATACTAAAAGGTTGATTTAAGTCCTGGCGCTTCTGTGAATATATACAAAACATGTACTGAAGATTCCATTTTCTTTTTTTTAAACAGAATGATATACAGTATAATTAAATAGGCGCCACTAAGTTGGGTTCCACTCCTGGTGACTGAATGGGCCAACGCTCACTATTTCAACCTGTTTTTAGTATATAGCACTAACCTGTAGCGCTTCCAAAACAGTCTTAAATCTCTTTGATTCTATTCATCCATCCATTCCCCCTTTTTTCTACTTTCCCTAATCTTGCCAAGCATAATCATTTCTTTCTAGACTCACATCCACCAGCCTCATATGTGGATCACAGTATGCCTTAAAAAAAAAAAAAAAAAAAGGAAAGAGAACACACTCTACTTTAAAATGAAGCCTTAATTAGCCCATGGGAAAACAAAAATAAAAATCCATATGGTCTGCTTTCCTGTTTAAGTAACAAACCATGGGGGTTGGAGGAAATCTGCCTTGAGATCAAGCATGGTAAAAATATTGCTATGCTACAGGAGACAAAGATCACCACCGGGCCCAAAAAAGTGCTGTTCTAAAGCTAACTACTCATTTGAGTAATAATCCAGCTGGTCAAGTATTGCAATTTGTATCATTTTCACATTGCAAACATCTATTACCCACACTGTTAGGAAAAATGGGAGAGTTTCTAAAGCTAAATAGTAATTCAACTACCCAGAAATGGCTTTGTTTAGGGTAGCTGTTGTATTCAACCTCCTGAGAGATTTGCAATGGGTGCAATTAATTTCTAGTTATCATCTGAATGCAGCACCGTCAAATAAAGAGTGATTGAACTATTCAATAAACTAAGCCCATTAAAAAAAAAAAACCTGGTGGAACTCATTTCTAAACCAATGAGTTTTAGCAATCATTATTATACATTTCTGCTTAAGGAATGCATAGGATTGCCTAGCAATCAGGTTTTATCATATGCCTTAGCTTGGAAATGTCTTACCAGAGTATGCCAATTTCTAAAAATCGTGCCCTACTTGCTGTGCGTGCCCCATGTGCAACTTTCCTTTTGCTTTCCCCCCTCTGCTCTACAGCATCTAAAGGCACCTGCTGTATTAAGTCATTCATTTATCCCAAATTCAATTTGCTCTTCAGCACTTATGCGCTTAGTCCTTGTGGTAGGACAGAATAAAAAATATTTCAAGCATTTAGGGAAAGCTCATTTCCATGTAATTGGCACTCAGTATTGTCAGGAAGAAGAAAAGTTCCAATCATCGTTCTGCAAATGTAGAAGAACCAAGGATTGCCCAAGAGGGAAAGAATCAATACAGTGGTTACCTAGTCACATTCCCCCATTATATTCTTAAATTAAGTGAATTCAGGTGGCAATTATTCTTCCAAAACATCAATAAAACAATGAAGGGAATATCTTTCTCCACAGAAGAGCAGCTTTTTTTCACCTGTTATATGGACACAGCAGGAGAAGGTCAGGCTAACCCAGTATCTATCTGTGTCTTGGGCGGGAACATCTCCTTGGTCTAAGGCAGTGTTTCTTAACCTTAGCAACTTTAAGATGTCTGGACTTCAACTCCCAGAATTCCCCAGCCAGCATAGCT